GCAGAGGCGGTGGCGGAGGAGGAGCTAGAAGTGGAGCCCATGGCTCTCCCCGTTGGGCTCATGGGCCCGGCCACTCTTGCCTTGGCCCTCGCCAAGACCGTGAGCTGCCCCCGCACTAGTGCTCCCACGTCCAGACCTTAGATTCATCTATAAGAGATATGAACCATCCATTAGAGCACCCTCCCGATCAGAATCAAGGGATTAGAGAAATGATAGGACATTTATTAAAGCATTCCGTTAGTTAGTCCTATAAATTTACTAATTCAATTATACGTGAAGGGGGATTTCAGTTAAAGTAAGATGCTATTATCATGATGCATGCTTCGACCTAAACGTTCACTCAAGCCAGAATATAGCGGCATTCGGAAAACTTTTCGGCACATTGCACACTCACTTTTCGTATACTAAGCGATTTCTTACGCAACGTAAGTCAGTGTACCTGCAGAAAACTGATTAGATAAAACCAGTGCCGCTATCCTAGATATACCATATTGCTAGGGCTTATATTTATTTACCTAATATAATCGCATCCTACTTTTCGCAAAACTTTTGTTGGTCAAATTTTTAAGTTTTGAAAAAGAGTGATAAAACTCGTAACCATTATTGGCTCTGATACCAACTGTGGTAGAACCGTCCGAAATAGCACACTTACGAAGACGCTCGTCTTCCACCAGACACTAAGCATCCCGAAAGCAGGCTACAGCGGGCGGTATCCGTCGGGCACACCCCGAGGGAGAACCCGAAAGATCCACATTTTCCCCAAGGATCCAATAATGAGAACGAGTTACAACACAAGTCCATTTCATACATTAGAGTTTCTTAAAAAGTATATTATTATAATACCAAATACCAGAGTGCGGAATGATAACAGCGGAATTTAAAAATAACATCTAGCGGTAAGGGGCGAGGATTCCGTCTGAGCCCACCAGAAGGATCCTCCACACAAAGGTACTCTTCAAGCATCACCTGCAACAAGGGTAAATAAACCCTGAGTACACAATATACTCGCAAGACTTATCCGACTAGTGGAAATAATTTCCCGACTCCAAGGAATATGATAAGCTATATGGCTTGCTGGTTTTCTTTAGCAGAAAGCAATACTAATAGTGAGTCCTTATTTATGTATTATTATCAGCCGTATTAAGTTATCATCTAGCCAGTCTGTATAAGCACCTGTTCTACTTTCAAGTAAGAGTTGAGCAATCAGTTCCATTTCTTCTCCTTTCAACTTCCAGTTCTTACTACGATGCTAAACTGCAGACAAGCCGTACTGGATTTCCCGGCGATTCACGAATCAATGTGCTCAGCTGGGTGCCCCGAAGACACACGCCCCGCTTGTCCCCCAGGCACAAGCAGGACTAACCCATCACTCTCCTGTCCTAGGTGTCTAGGTCCCCATCCAAACTTGGACTCCAAGCCCCCACATCCTGAGTCCTGGACTCAGTGTGGTGCAAGGACCTCCACCACCTCCTTTTCCCATCAGTCGGTCCGGAAAGAGCCGGATCCACAACAAGAGAGCAACAAGCCTTCCCTGCGCCCATACCCAAGTATGTGCTCGGGACAATAGATCTGTGACTTGCCTAGAGCCATATGCAACGACCGGTCCTTAATCGACACAGGCAGGGAAAAAGTGTAACCGAGCTATGCCCTGTTGGCCGTAGGACACAACCCCTCACACCCACCAGTACCCAAACCATATCCCTGCCCGATCACCACTTTCCTTTCCACCATTTTATCATGAGTGATCATATTTTGTTACCTATTTGCGAGTAATGGTAGGTTACTCACGCTACCGAGATCTTAAGCATAGCAGCTACTCGACCTGTACTAGTAGGACTCATGGGTAGATATATTTATGCATGTAGTTTTTTATAAAATACCTGTAACGTAAATGCACATCATATACATATTCGGTGATTAGTAAAAATAGGGATTATGTATCGGGGCTTGCCTTGGGCAGGCGCGGTGTCAGCAAAGTCAGTGACGGGCGGCTCCGGAACGTCCTCCTTCACGAGGATGTCCTCGTACTCTTCGACGACTTCGTTGTACTCCTGCTCGCCGAAGGTCACGATCTCCAGTGGCTTGTTCTCTATATGCATGCAGTGATGATGACACAACGCTTAGTAATACGGCAACAACAACTCTTAAAATAAGAATACATCTACCAAGCTACTAAGCTAACTCTAATGACTAATACACAAAGTCACCTATTATTCCCACTAAATAGGTATGAAACATTTCATGTATTATCTTAGCAAGGCATCCTTATTGTTAATATCAATTTACTATATATATGATAAAACAAGGTGCACTAGCTACCATCTTTATCAACCTATTCTAAGGCCACAAAAATTATTGCGAGCACATATTAATACAATAAACCTACTGTAAAAGAATTTTAGGGCTAGCACTTCTACCAATGCATCACAAAAAATCATTCTCTAAATAACCATAATAATAACAAGCAACCTAGAATTAATAAGTAACCCTAAAACATCGCAGAACCATACGAACAAAATATACCAACAGATAGATCAGGAATTTAGGAATCTAACAAAATTTATTTCACAATAAATAAAGAAATAAATTCAAATGAGCTCTAAAGAGAAGAAAAATGATATTATTGGAGGAGGCTAATCATGCAATTGAACTTGTTGACCAGCACGTGACTGTGAGTCTAGAAATACTGGATGGGACCGCGGGTCAAAGAAATAATAGAGAAGGAGGATGAAGGAATTCTTGTAGGCTAGCTACCTCGGAATTGAACGAAGTGTCGCCTACGGTGATCGATGTGCGGAGGCAATGCAAGAGAAGAGACACCAGAGAGCTTAGCAATTGCTTGCCCTGCGCAGAGCGGAGCAGAACCATATACGGTGATCGATGTGCGGAGGCAATGCAAGAAAAGAGACACCAGAGAGCTTAGCAATTGCTTGCCCTGCGTGGAGCGGAGCAGAACCATATATAGCACTGGTGAGTGGTCACGACGAGCTAGGTAGTCTGGAAGCACGGAACGAGTTGGCAGGGTTGTCATCTGGCTCCATGCCGTGTGCGGTGGTGTGCCTGGCAGAGTGGGTTTGACTTACTCGTCACACGCGGCACGGCGCAGCTGGTCCTGTGCAAGTGCCGATGTGCATTACTGCATGCCAAGTGAAGACTGGTGGACGGTAGTGTTACTCATGCTCTGCTTTTGGTCCACACAGAAAAAATGTCCCGCTCAAAGAACACGTTCGTTGGGGCATGCAGGAGGCAAACGAGCGGTAAGGAATCAATGGAGGAGGAGACCACATGTCAAAAGCAGCTGCTGGTGCTTGACGTATTTCTCGGATGAACAGTACTTTCCACGTGAACAGTATTCCCGTGTGCACAGTGTTTCTGTGCACTGCTACAGTGTTGCGTGAGGAAAGGGTGCGTGCACTGTGTTTGCTGAGCAGTGAGCGAGCGGCGTGCTCAGCGGGCCGAGCTTGTGAGTGAGATTAATGGTAGCATGTGTGACACACTATGGCAGCGGCAGCACGTCGTGCGATGCTGTTGCTACGGTCGGTTGTCGCTGTGCGCGTGCTGCGTGGGCTAAGCAGAGCATGTGCCTTGTGCGTGCTACGGGGATTAGGAAGAAGATGAATAACGAGAGATGGAGTTGGATCAGGATGACAATAGTGAGTTGAGCTGAGCTGGAGAGTATTTGGACAAGAAATAAATTAGAGCTCAATTTGAGAATTAGTGTAATAAAATTTAATTTCTCATTTACCACATGCAATAATACAAAAACATGATGCTCATGATATGATTTAGTGTTTTGATTAAGGCGTAACACCGAGAGTATTACACCAGGGTCCCTAAATCGCCCTTCAGCCATCCTCACCACCTGGCCGGCCTTTCTCCCCTCAAAACCCTTATCTTCTAAGGCTACTGGAGTTGGGAAGAAGAAAGGAGAAGCTCGCCGGAGTTAGGGAAGATGTGGGGAAGAGAGAGAGAGAGAGGAGAAGCTCGCTAGAACCCTAACTCGCAGATCCAGGAGGAGGAGTAGGACCCACCTCGCTAGCGCCGTCGGTGCCGTCGCCAGAACCTGCCGTCGCGTGGGGAGAGAGGGAGTCACGTGTGCGTGGGGAAGGAGCCGGAACCCGCCGCTGTGCTGTCGGAACCCGCCGCCGCCGGAGAGAGGGAGAAGCGTGCGCATGTGCATGGAGAAGGAGTGTGCGTGGGGAGCAGGCCGTGCGGTGGCCACTTGTCACCTAAAAAATTGACGTAGAACCAAATGCCAACTAAAGGTTATACGTATATCAAATTTTAATAAGACATTCTTGACTTTCATCCTAAAACACTCTAAGTGGTTGTTCGGTTGATCTCTCTAAAGGGGTTAGAGGGGACAAGAGAGATATAAATTTAAAGCTTATTTAGCTGCACTTCTATCCAGTAAATTGGAGTAGAATAGTAACTAGTTTTTCATCAATCCTCCTTCAAAACATCTCAATACATGTAGAGAGTAAATTAGTGCAGTGAAACGATACCTCGGCTTGTTGACTATACTTCAAGCCACCACAGTCTATACGAATTGGAGTGAAAAAAAATACTTATATTTATCTCAATCCAAATGTGTTGACGTAGATTGAAATAGAAAACTACTTCATTTTTTTTCCTGTAGTAGCGTATTAGCATTTATAGCATATATGAAAACAAAATTCGGCAGAAAATTTCGTCCCTTCCAATTTCCATTCCTCGCCTCTGCTGTCCAGAGACGGCGCGGGCGTATCAGCGGGCGAGCAACGGCGCCGGGTGACGAGACGGGAGCTGGTGACTCCTCCACCTGGCAGGTGGGTCCTCCAAGGCAACGCATCGCATGCGGTCTTCTCGCATCCAACGGTGGCGAGCAGAGGATGCCCCTCTGATCTGATCCAACGGCTGGAAAGGTCCAAGTGTGAACTCCGCCACCGCCGGTACGCGCACCCGGTCGAGTGTACCCGCGCACGAGGCGCCGACCCGGCCAGAGTCGCGGTCGCTGCCGCATGGCCCTTGCCTCCCTCGCGGCCTCGCTCCCAACCGCCGCCGCCTCCGCCGCGGTGAGATTCCGTTTCCGCTTCCGCTCCCGCGTCGGCCGCGCCATGGCCTCCGCCGCCGCCGCCGCCGCAGGCGCGAGCGCGACCACAGGGGCCTCGCCGGCGAGGGTGGGCGTGGTACAGATGACCTCCGTCGGGGACGTCGACGCCAACTACGCCACCTGCTCCCGCCTCACCAAGGCAAGCCCTCCTCTAGTATCCCCGTCCCCTCTCCTAGACCCTAGATAGGCCACTGCCCGCCGCCGCCGCTAACAGGGCTAGCGCTGGTTGGTCCGCCGCCGTGCCGTCCCGGGCGTAGTAGGTGTGGTCTGCAACTGATGATTAAGTAGCTTTGTGATGATGCAGAGCAGATGCTGTGCCTTGGTCCTGCACCTGGTTGTTCACTTGTTCGTGTTAAAATGGGGCTGTTTTGTATTTTGGATGGTGGGGATTGTGATGACGGAAATGCAATTTGTTTATCACTGATACAACCTATAATGAAAGAGGATAAATGCTCATGTGGGTATGCAAAATTTCCCTCCAATTTCACGTAAACACGGACGCGAAGACGAGTAATTGTCAACGAATCTTGCTGGTTAGAACGTTATGTTGCTTTTACTGTGTCAACTATAGTTTGAGAGAGCACACATGTATGGTGTTTGAAGATAAGCACGATTGTCATAGTTCAACAGCGTGGTGCAACCAGCTTTCCTTGGTGGTACGACAGCTAATCAACCTGCAAAAGATGGAGCTGTACACAATGTTGTGTATCTGATATTGACAGACCTGTTGGCAATAAGACTGACAGTTCTTTGTAGTTAGGACGACAGTAGCCTCATTGTACTGCCCATATTCATACCTTACTGGCTTTTGTAATATGGTTTTCTTAAGCTGTTTCTTCTATTGCTCGTGGTTTTTATATATGAATAATGCTGAGTAGACTAACATGGAAGCTTACATTAATATATATATTTTTTTAATTTAGGAAGCAGCTGCCTCTGGAGTGAAATTTCTTTGCTTCCCTGAGGTCTTCTCATTTATTGGATCCAAGGATGGCGAATCTGTTAAACTAGCTGAACCATTAGATGGGCCAATAATGCAGAGATATTGCTCACTTGCAAAGTTAGTGAGAACAAAATTGTTGCTTTTCTTTTAATATTTCACGTCTGTGACATTTCAATGTGCATAGACTATACACTGTATCATTTAATTTCCTGAAATGCTCCTGTATTCAGGGTATCTATATTCTGGTTGTCTAAATTGAATTTTTTTGTCACCTCACATATCTTTTTTTTTATCATTTGTACATGTTATACTCCCCTGTCCATCTGTTTTAGCTTACAAAGACATATTTTAGCCCCTATGTATGCACCCAAGCATATATTTAACAATGTTACACTTTAACTGCGTATTTGGTAGTCTTCACAATTTTTTTGATACATACAGATTTCTACTATGAAATTTGCACTTGACATATGAAAGCTTCACTTGGCAGAGAATCAAGCATGTGGTTATCTCTTGGGGGTTTTCAAGAAAAGGGACCTGATGATTCTCACCAGTACAATACTCATGTATTAATTGATGATACTGGAAAAGTTAGGAGCTCATATCGAAAAATACATTTGTAAGTTCTTCAAGTTCGCATTTTTGGCCAAAACATGCTTTTAGGAATATTTGCAAATAGCTGGAGCTTAATCACTTGTTTTTTCTCTACTGTACAAAGTCTCTGAACTTTACATTGCATCTTTTTTTTTCCTCGAACATGAAGGAGATCTGTGCATCATTTCATTGAGGAAGAAAAAAGAGTACATGGTGAGGAGGGTTCCAAATAAAACTCACGCGCACAAAACACTGCAACACACACAAACCAAGAACTCACAGCACACTCCACCTACTGAAGGCTAGACCTCTCACCTTTTGAGAAAGCTAAAGATGACCAGAAGTACCAAAGGGGTTCAGCCGCCCCAAATCCATGAGGGATGACCTAACCAGCAACTCCTGAAGACATTTAGCTCCAGCTAAACACCACAAGGTTTCATTCATTCGCAATGGCCTGTAATACCACTACACCAGTGTTACATTCATCCTTGCACCATCAAAGACACGCATTCTGGTGTTTCCAAATCTCCCAGGCCATTCCTAATTTCCATGGGCACCAACTTGACTGATGGACACCAGCAGTTGGGCACCGACCTTTTAGTGTTGGGCTGTGGCGACATGGCGATCAGACTCAGAGTTTGAAGAATTGTGCACCACACCTCCCACAAAAAACACAAGAGACTAGTATGTGTTGGATTGATTCCTCAGCTTGATTACAAAGCAAGGAGGCAGCAGGATGTGGAACCCACTCTTGGCAACTCGATCGGCAGTCCAACACCAATTTCTCACAGCAAGCCACACGAAGAACTTGCAGCGTAGTGGATCCCAAGTAAAGTTCTCTTTCAAGGTGCAAAACAAATTGTATCCATAAAGAGAGCATTATAGGAAGGCTTGCTGGAACAATTTCCAGACCTCGTGAGTTTGACACCAATAGGCGCTTTGTGCGGAGAATCCAAGAATCTGAGGTCAGAGAGGCGTTGAAAAGGATGAAAGGAGGTAAGGCGATGGGACCGGATGATATCCCAATAGAGGTGTGGAGATACCTCGGGGATATAGCTATAGTATGACTAACCAAGCTGTTCAACCATATTTTTCGATCGAACAAGATGCCTGACGAATGGAGGAGAAGTATATTGGTACCGATCTACAAAAATAAAGGGGATATTCAAAGTTGTACTAATTACCGGGGAATTAAGTTGATGAGCCAAACTATGAAGCTATGGGAGAGAGTTATCGAGCATCGCTTTAGAGCAATAACGTGGGTCTCTATGAACCAATTTGGTTTCATGCCCGGAGGGTCAACCATAAAAGCCATTTTCTTAATAAGACAAGTTATGGAGCGGTATAGGGAGAAGAAGAAGGACCTACACATGGTTTTTATTGACTTGGAGAAGGCTTATGATAAAATACCAAGAAATGTTATGCGGTGGGCTTTGGACAAACATAAAGTCACAACGAAGTACGTCGGGCTCATTAAGGACATGTACAACAATGTTGTGACTAGTGTTCGAACAAGTGATGGAGACACGGATGATTTCCTGATTAGGATAGGACTACATCAAGGGTCAGCTTTGAGCTCTTATCTGTTTGCCTTATTGATGGATAAGGTCACAAGGGACATACAAGGGGACATCTCTCGGTGTATGCTTTTCGCGGACGATGTAGTGCTAGTTGATGAAAGCCGGACATGAGTGAATCAGAAACTGGAGTTAACTGGAGTTATGGCGGGAGACTTTGGAGTCCAAATGTTTTAGACTCGGTAGAACTAAAACTGAGTATATGAGATGTGACTTCGGCATTACTACTCGGGAGGAGGAAGATATTAGTTTGGAAGGTCAAGGAGTGCCTAGGAAGGATACCTTTCGATATTTAGGATCAATGCTACAGAGAGACAGGGATATTGATGAAATGTTAGCCATAGAATCTAAGCAGGGTGGATGAAGTGGCGCCAAGCATCTGGTGTCCTATGTGACAAAAGCGTACCACAGAAGTTAAAAGGCAAGTTTTATAGGACGGCGATTAGATCTGCTATGTTGTATGGTGCAAAATGTTGGCCTACGAAAAGACGACATGTTCAACAGATAAGTGTTGCGGAAATGTGTATGTTGTGTTGGATTTGCGGTCATACAATAAGAGATCGAGTTCGGAACGATGATATACGTGATAGATTAGGGGTAGCACCAATTGAAGAAAAGCTTGTCCAACACCGGTTGAGATGGTTTGGACATGCCCAATGAAGACCTCTAGAGGCACTGGTGCGTAGTGAAATTCTAAGCCAAGATAGTAACGTGAAGAGAAGCAGAGGAAGACCGAAGTTGACTTGGGTAGAGGTAATAAAAGGAGACTTGAAAGGATGGAATATACCCAAAGACATAGCCTTAGATAGGAGTGCTTGGAAAACAGCTGTTCACGTGCCTGAACCTTGATTGCTTCTGCTGGGTTTCAACTCTAGCCTACCCCAACTTGTTTGGGACTTAAAGGCTTTGTTGTTGTTGTTGTACTCCTTGCTGCAGCTCTGAACCATCCACCAGATCCCAAACGAGAATATACTCTCTTAGGACCTGTACAGAAAGAGCCACTGTGCGACACTTCATAGGTCTTTTGGGAATTACTTTGGGAAGATTAGGAGCCATTTCAGGGTTTGTGTTCTGGCCTAGCCATCTATCAAACCAGAACAAGGTACTCTGTCCATTGCCAATAATTGATTCCATAGTCATACTGAATAAAACTCGGGCATTTTGAGGAACTTGAATGGGCAAACCCAGCCCATGGGCGGGAAGGATCTGTTTTCTCAAGCCACAGCCATCTGATGCGAAGAACCCAATCCAGTTTCTCCAGACTGTGAATGCACAGCCCTCCAAACTGAAGTGGCCGCTCTATCTTCTCCCAAGCCTCCGTTAACCTTGTCACGCCTGAGCCACAGAAAACCCCTACTACACCTTTTGTTAATGGCCTTGATCACCCATTTACTGATTTACATTACATCTTTATGATGTTTAGTGATAGTTCTGTTTTTCTATATAATGTTGTAGTGGCTTTTGCTGGCAGTGTTGTCATTTGAAATCACAGTTGAGTTGTTTTGTTGGTGTGGTGGCGGCCAGTTCTGAGGCCCTTAGAGTCTCCAGCATCGTCATTTTTAGTACATCTTGCTAGCTCAGTAGGCGATGGAACACTGTATTGCTGAGGGTAAAACGTGATATGATATTCGAGAAAACTGTAATATCGTTGCTCCTGTAATGAAACTGGGGTCCATCCCGTTATGGAAAAAAAATATGTTATTTTCTTTTCCATCTGTGTCAGTGAGCAAACACGATGCCACATTTCATTATTTCAGCACTATGAGTTGGTTGTTCTTGAATTAGGGAAACACCATTAATAGTGATAAACTCAAAGACATGAAAACATTTCAGCTATACTGGTCCTAGCACAGAAGTATATTTACGAATATTCTGTCAAATTCTTCCTTTTCTCTTTCCTTGTTACTATTTTCTCATTGCTGCACTGCACCTTGTGTGTTCATCTTCTGTGGCGAAGGTTTGATGTTGATGTACCTGGCAATATGGTGTACAAGGGAAAGTCGTTTCACAACTGCAGGTAATTATATATGTCAAAAATATCTGTTTTCTTGCAGAGATTGATCTGTTGTTTCTAATACATATAAACTTTTCGTCGTTGGTTCAAACTGCTGCTATATGATTGAATTTTACACATTAGTTTGTTCAGGCAATGAGTCCATGAAATTATGTACAATATACTCATAACAGGCTTATAAATATAAATTTACTCTTGGAACAAAATATATGCTTCTAATGGTATGCAGTTCTCTTGGTTGTTCGATTAAAAGCAAATTTTATGCTTTTGCTCATCTTTGTTCTTTTAAATTTTTTCTTCTATTTATAACAATACAAAATCATTCAGACCCCTAGAGATTGTTCAAGAACTGCATGTAGCAGTTTGTTTATAACAATTCTTCCCCTTTTTATTCTTATACTTCTGAATATCTTATGTTGAGCAAAATATTGTGGTAGAAGTAACGTCCTGTTGGCTTGGCTCAAAGAATATTGTTTTACTGTAGTACTGTAATAGTGCTGTCTTGGATGAAGTAGTACCTGCTGTTGTAATTATTGAACTGCAATTGATTCCATATGATGTTTTCTCTCTCTTATTACTTATTAGGCGATACAATTGTTGCTGTGGATAGCCCTTTTGGACGGTTGGGGCTTACTGTTTGCTATGATTTGAGATTCCCAGAGCTTTATCAAATTTTGCGATTTAAGCATCAAACACAGGTGGTTACTCATTCTAATATACTTCACACAAGAAATATGATTGATTATATTGGATGCCAATATGCCATCCTATCATAGAAAGTGTAGAGGGGATGCATATTTTGTGAATTGTGATCCTGTCTTAATTTTGTCTCATAGGTATTACTAGTACCATCTGCATTCACAAAGATAACTGGGGAGGCACATTGGGAAATTCTCCTCCGTGCTCGTGCAATTGAGACACAATGTTATGTATGTTAATCAAACCCTTCTATCTTCTTTGACATGTGGCACACATTTCACATTTGGAAATCGAATTATCTCATGTTGCCCAATTTTGTTGGCAACATGAGATAGATAAAATAAAAAGTTAATGCCGGACCAATTATACAACATCTGCTTTTCTGTTGTGATTTTAAAACAACAGTGTTCGAAACCATTTGTAGGTTATTGCTGCTGCTCAAGCTGGAAAGCACAATGAAAAAAGAGAAAGCTATGGTGATTCTATAATTATTGATCCATGGGGAACAGTGATAGCTCGACTTCCAGGTATATGTTTTTCATCTCTTTACTTTTTTGAGTTAAGATTCTTTTGTGTATCTTCACTGGGACTTCTTTGTTCATGATTTATCTGACTTTACTCAAACGCCTCATTTTGTTACTTATTAATGCTGCATCAGTTATCTATATTTGTTAGGATGAAATGCTTGATGTGGAACACAATTGGCGTGTATTACATGCTGCATGTTTATGCTAGTGCCCTTTTTGTCCGAAGACCTGTGAAACAACTGTCTCTACACATATTTTGATGCAATTTTCTTGATTAAAAAAATGTGGTTGCAGATCGGCTCTCGACTGGATTTGCAGTTGCAGATCTTGATTTATCAAAAGTTGAGGCTGTGAGAACTCGAATGCCAATCTCAGAGGTACTACTGCTTTCCCAGGCACCCACCATCCCTTTGTTCCAATTTCAACCAGGACCAGAAGTTCTTCTGTAACAAATTACTCGTCCTATGTTTTGCAGCACCGGAAGTTCGACAGCGATTGGAAATCCATGACTCTTTGATAGCTGAGGGCTGGTCCTGTGTTTCCTATGTTTGTATACACATATAGTTGACATATTCATCTATGCATAATCACCATAGGTTTGGTCTGTTTGTGACTGGGAACTCCAGCAAGAGAAAGGTGGTTGAACAAAATAAGTTGCACAGGCGATAGCATTGTGTAGAAAATGGTAGACATCAGTGCAAGTTGAAATTTGTCTTTTACCTGCCAAGGACAAGTTGTAGCGAAAATGTTGTGACAATTGTCAGCTTCATAATATTCAGATGTAACAGGGCTGAGATATTGTTATTCCATTGTTATTAAAATAAAGTTTTCAGGTCATAGAGTATTGGGATCTAATTAAATTTAAATGTCCATTCCCATTGAGATTGTAAATGATCTGAAATCCAAATGGAGTGACACCTGGTGCTAATATCATGATCTAGAATTTGGTTAAACTTGGATGTCTGAATCTTCACATGGAAATGGAAAGCACCAAACGAAGCAACATAAGCTTTTTCCTTGGTACAATTTGAACCGATAGTGAATTTTCATATATCTTCTTGCAGGCTAGCGTGGGCTACAAAGCTTAGCTTCAAAATGCAATAGATGTAAACACCAAGAAAAAGATCTCTAGTAACAAAACCAATCCTAGACCAAGCACACACCAAATGCCTTTCTTTTGAAACCTAACACACCCAAAACAAGTTCAGATCAGAAACGAGTAACCTGTATACCCAGAGTTGAGAGTGTTGAATTTGTGTTGTCGCTCTAACACGGAGGCAGATAAACAATGGACTACTCAACTAGAATTAATGCAAGACAAGCAAGTGAGCAACCAATTCCAAGAAGAGAAATTATAAACCTTGTCAACTATCATCCCATTTGTCCATTCTGACTTTGACTGCAAACCAAATAAGCAAAACAAAAGCCGACAGAGCAAATTCGTGTTGTCAAATTTACTTGCATGAAAACATGGATGTTTTAAATAGGCAATCTTCAACTGAATATAGTTTCGTCACACTTCTGGGTTGCATACAAACTGTGTCCCTGTTGAAACTGGCCCACAAGAAACCAGCACCTGCACACTTTTGTGTTCAGGTGATCAACATCGTTCCACTTCAAATCGAGTTTAATCTTCAAACAAAGAGTAAACAAAGAATATCTCATCATACAAAAGCTTTACTTCATGAAAGAATAAATTCATATAAATTTGGTAGTGACAAAATGAAACTAATATCTTAAGTCTTCTTGAATCAAATCAAAAGCTACTTTTTCCACATGAAATGACATATACTACATTGAGAAATGCTAAGTTACATATTTGAAGAAGCATAATGTCAAAATCGTTGAAGAATGTAGCAGGCAAAAAAATTGGCCAATGTTTCAAGGAAAAAAATATAATTGATTAATACTACATACAGGTTTCACGTGTTCTATATCGCTGACAGCTATATTTTATTCAATATAAACCAGTTTAGATAACGTGGGTCTCTATGAACATCATGTCCGGAAGGTCAACCATGGAAGTCATTTTCTTAATAAGACAAGTTATGTAACGGTATAGGGAGAAGAAGAATGACCTACACATGGTTTTTATTGACTTGGAGAAGGCTTATGATAAAATACCAAGGAATGTTATGTGGTGGGCTTTGGACAAACATAAAGTCCCAACGAAGTACGTCGGGCTCATTAAGGACATGTACAACAATGTTGTGACTAGTGTTCGAACAAGTGATGGAGACACGGATGACTTCCCGATTAGGATAGGACTACATCAAGGGTCAGCTTTGAGCTCTTATCTGTTTGTCTTAGTGATGGATGAGGTCACAAGGGACATACAAGGGGACATCCCTTGGTGTATACTTTTCGCGGACGATGTAGTGCTAGTTCATAAAAGTCGGACATGAGTGAATCAGAAACTGTAGTTATGGCAGGAGACTTTGGAGTCCAAAGGTTTTAGACTCAGTAGAACTAAAACTAAGTATATGAGATGTGACTTCGGCACTACTCCTCGGGAGGAGGAAGATATTAGTTTGGAAGGTCAAGTAGTGCCTAGAAAGGATACATTTCGATATTTAGGATCAATACTACAGAGAGACGGGGATATTGATGAAGATGTTAGTCATAGAATCAAAGCAGGGTGGATGAAGTGGCGCCATGCATCTGGTGTCCTATGTGACAAAATGGTACCACAGAAGCTAAAAGGCAAGTTTTATAGGATGGCAATTAGACCTGCTATGTTGTATGGTACAGAATGTTGACCTACGAAAAGACGACATGTTCAACAGTAAGTGTCGCGGAAATACGTATGTTGCGTTGGATTTGCGGTCATACAAGAAGGGATCGAGTTCGGAACGATGATATATGTGATAGATTAGAGGTAGCACCAATTGAAGAAAAGCTTGTCCAACACCGGTTGAGATGGTTTAGACATGTCCAACGGAGACCTCCAGAGGCACCGGTGCGTAGTGAAATCCTAAGCCAGGATAGTAACGTGAAGAGAGGTAGAGGAAGACCGAAGTTGACTTGGGTAGAGGCAATAAAAGGAGACTTGAAAGGATGGAATATATCAAAGACTTAGCCTTAGATAAGAGTGCTTGGAAAACAGGTATTCACGTGCCTGAACATTGATTGCTTCTGCTGAATTTTAACTCTAGCCTACCCCATCTTGTTTGGGACTTAAATACTTTATTGTTGTTGTTGTTGTATAAACCAGTTCAGAACATCTATTATCAAATTGGTATTATGTCAGGAGTCATCAGTCAATAAACATGTGGAATCTAGCATTTCCTAGCCCAGACGGGCACAACTTGGGTATTATTATTTTTATATATTTGGAACTCGACAGTATATAAACCAGATATTCCCACACAGTAATACATCCACTACCATATGCAACAATAACAACAACAACAAAGGTTGTCAGTCTCAAACAAGTTGGGGTAGGCTACACTACCATATGCAAAGAGAAAAATAAATATCTGACTAGACACAAGGACCACAATACTAAAAAAGGAAAAGAAAACACAACAGAAATTAGATTTGAGTGCATAATAAGTCACAATGCAAGACAAAGTACTGTAAAGAGAAGGTATAAGAAGGGAGCTTAACATACACATTAGGCATTAATCATGGTTCGGGCTCCACAAAATGGTGATAGCATACACTGTCAAGTACTACAAGCAGTTTGCGAATGCCACTTCATACACAAATGATTAGATAAAGGCAAGTAGAATTACTAAGTTAACTGAAACAGCTAGCCCCATGAAGTGAGGTCATATCAGTGTACTCAAGGATAAACCAAAAGTACAACAATATCAGAAATATGTATAAGTAGTAGCTGCTGCAGCGACTGAAGACCATGCTACGAAACATCAGCAAAGCCCGAGCGGTGCTGAGAAAGTCAGATTACTGTTTCGCAGCATCTGGCAATGACTTGGAAAATAAGGGAACATATGGTAGAAAATATTCAGAGTCGGAGTCAATGTGTCCAAGATTACGGATGACATGCACACTCCCGCTATCCATGTCATAAGACATTAGTGTTTTTTCATCACGACCAAAAACAAAGAATACCATGTTGCGGTCTGGGTGGATAGCAACAACAATAAACTCATGAAATCCAAAGTGGACGTGCTTCCTTCCGACCAGACGCTTATAGCAGACTGTGTGCTTTAAGGTCCATTCATCGCTGTCTTTATCCTCAGGGACCCAGATTGCTAGCTTATCCCCGACCATATCATCCGCATTTGCAAGATGCAATCTCCCCTGGGACAGATCAATGAATCCAGGACCATTATCATGGAATGGTGAATCCTTGCAACGTGGAAAATCAATGATCCTCCAAGTTTCCCCCTTCACATCCACTGCCCCAATTACGCACCAGTGGCAATCACATACAGCACACCATTGACAAATACACTCTTAAAATCATACTGTGGTATAAACTCAAAGCAACAGGCACTCTGCTTGTGGCACCAAACTCCGGTTTCAGATGAGTATATCTTCACCCGTAGGACATGGCCGCCCCCAGCATCATCATCTTCATCATCCACATCCAACTGAAACTCAAAGATGTAGAAGTGGGAGGAGAACGCTGGGTCGAACCCCAGGCGAACCGTCTGCACCTTATTCGACCAGCGCCATGAGACTGGCACGGCGACCCACTTCTCGGTAGCAGGATTAACGACGAGGTAGTCGAACTCGTCCTCCTCGGTGTACCTGAAGCTGTGACAGAGGAGGAGGCCGTTGCAGCTGTCCACCAGGTCGACGTGCTCCCGCTCGCGGTGGGGCAGGAACGGGAATGAAGGGTCGATGAGCGGGGTGTCGGTCCCGGACACGTTGGTGAAGCAGTAGCGAACTGGCGTCGATTCCGAGGAGCCGCGGCCGTCAAGGGCCAAGGGGATTTGGTGATTTTTATTTTATTTTTAACATATTTTAAACTAATTTTAAAACTAACATTGTTTATTTTTTTCTTTCAAATCTAACACTTGCCGCACCTATTCGCACGGCGCGGCAAATTAACTCTGCCGCGCCATGCATGGGGGCGCGGCGAGGCTGCCTACATGGCAGCGACCAGGGCCGCTGACCGGTGACGTGTCCAGCTCTGCCGCGCCACCGACCGTAGCGTGCTGTGACGCACACATCACGCGGCACTATCCACTCGTCGGCGCAACAGAGGCAAATATAGGCCCGTGGCCCGATCCGCCCCAGCGCCACGCCGCCGCCGCCGCCGCCGCCACGCACGCACGCCGGCCGCACGCCGCCACCGCCGCCCGCGCCGCCCGACCAAGACGCGCCCGCGCCCGTTAACGCCAACACACACGCCCCCCGCCGCGCCCTCCGGCCATGCACGGCGGCTGCCCGCCGCGCCCGCCACCGCCCTCACTGCCGCCGCCCACAGACACACCGCCTCCCGGTGTCGCACCCTCTCTCTATCCCGTGTCCACCCGCCGTTGTCGCTGCCGCCGAGGCCAGCGCCCGCACCTCCCGGCCCGATCTAGCGTGCCGCGCGTGTGA